TTCTATAACAAAAGATGGGTAATTTGAGGCAATTGTACTGTGACAGATTAGCTAGAGAGTAATATTTTATCAATAGTTTTAAAATATTAAAGTGAGCAATCAAAAGACACTTCACAGCAAAAACAGTAATAAAATATGACGTAAAACTTGTGAAACCGGTTTTACGGTAAGCTTCCGGTAAACTCGAATGTTCCAAAACATTCGAGTAAACTCGAATGTTCCAAAACACCGGTAAGCTTCCGGTAAACTTGAATGTTCCAAAACATTCGAGTGTGTTCCAAAACACCGGAAGCTTCAGCTTCTATTAAACTTATATTAACTTCACTCTACAACAAGTAGCTTCAGTTGTTGTAGAGTGGACGGAGGAGAAAGGACAGAGCTTTAGTTGCAAACAGAGAGCAGTCTGTAAACAGTTAGCTGCAGCCAACTTCCCAAATAAGAATACGTGTTTTAGCATTACAGTTTTATAAAACTGTGCGTCTGACTGGTAAAGCAGGTGGGGAGAAGTTGCTTCTTTTGCAGGAACCGAGCTAAGAGGTGGCAGTGATCGTGTCTACAGCTGTCCCTACGCATTCTTTTATACTGACATGTCAGCAGGTTTCTAATCAGTGCGAGCGTCTAAGCATTGGCTACCATTGAAAAACTATAGATTCTACAGACCTTGAATAAAAATTGAGCACTTGCCACTTTCCTGATGGGTGCTCCAAGTGCCATTTTCTTCAGGCATTTTTTTGTTTTTGTTGTTTTTTTTATTGTTTGCCTGCGTGTGGAGTCCTACCTGTGCCCCCTAACAATAACATTTAACTATTAATCACAATTTTGCTACATAAAATGATCTAGCTTGCATCAATGATGCAACATGATGACCATTAACCAGTTGACCACAGAACACGCTGGTTACGCCAGGAACGATCTCGCAAAGAGCACGCACATTTTTTGCCACCTGGCAGTGTGGAGCTGTAGGGAAAGGACACAAATTAACTGGGGGATTCAGACTAATGCAACAAAAACCAGTAAGTCTGGTGTACAGCGTACACTAGTCTATAGCACACAGAAGTATGAGGTTATTGTGTACACGTTGGTAAGTTTTGTGGCAACTGATGAATTGAAACAAATGAGCATGCTGTGTGTGCAAAGACGCGACAAAACGATAGATGGATAGAAAAACAAATTGCATCACAAATTTCTTTATTATTTAATTTCTTTATTCATATTACTTCATTATTATAGAACTAGGAATACATAATAAGGGTAGGATTCTGGATCAGCACCATGATGCAAACTTGTGGCCATAGTATATGCAGTATTCTGGAGAAGGTATAAAATGTCACTGCATGCATGTTTAATGTGTATAGATTATTATTTGTTACATTTCGACCCTACCATGACAACCCCTTTCTTTTGCCCTACTAATATTCCAGTTTCAGTATATTTTGCAGTTTGTTTGTTTTTTTTAATCTATTGCATTATGGTTCCAAACACTGTCATCACTCTTTGAATTTCATTCTTATCTCATAACACTTGATTAATCAGCTCCCATCTCTCCTTTCCTTGTCTACAGTCTCAGATCAACACGGCCCTGCCTTCCAGCACTATCAACAGCAGGAGCAGCAGCAGCAACCCCTCAACAGCAGCATTGTACCCATCAGGTAAAACGTATGCCATTTATGCATTGTGCCCACCTAATGACAATGATATAGTATGAGTCTTGATGAATGTGGGTTGTTGTCATTCAGTGTGCCCCTTTTTAGCTTTGGGAACCCGCTCCTTCAAACATGTCTGCACAGCCCTGATTTTTTTCTATTTAATCTGACCAAGGATGGATGGATTATCTCAGTTGCTCTCCTGACTGAACTTTGGTCCGTTTACAGCATCTTTTACCTGCCATGCGATTGCAGCTCTGTTTCTAGCCACCATGTAGCTACCAGCTAGCCCAACTTCAGTAACCCTACAAACGTCACTGCTGTTTAGTTTTGTCTTCATTTATGTCAGAAGTGATAGCAGAGCTGTATGTTTGATTCATTTTCTTCTGCTTATCTGTGGCCGGGTCGCAGGGGCAGCACCTTAAGCAGAGAAGCCCAGACCTCCCTCTCCCCACCAGCTCCTCTAGTAATTTGTGCATTTTCGCAACAAACTACTAAATATTACAGCCAGATATTGTACTGCTGTCTGTGTCGCCTTGAAATCATATAAACACTAATATCTTACTTTTGTTGTGTTGCAGACTTGGTATAGTCGTTAATGTTGTCTTTAAATCTTTTCACAGCAGATCTTGGGTTTTCTTTTTTTTCTTGTGCCAATTTGTGATTTCCAGTTTATGTTATTGCTATAATCACTCTCATTGGGGCTACTGTGATCTTTGCCTGAATGTGTGTTGGTCTTTTTTCTGTTGTAGGTACCTACCTTCCTGCCAGACGGAGAAAAGATCTGTAAACTGGCTTCTTCATCTCCCAGCAAGTGTTTGGTGTGTGGTTCATTACTCTTGCTCTTTGTTTTAACACTTTAACGTCTCAATCAAGCAAGTCCGCATTATTGTTTTTAACTGTAATTAAAGGTCCCCTTTTGTGTTTGGTTTTTTTAGCCTATTTAGATCTTTATAAACTTAATTTAGGATTGCTTTTATTTTTAGGTCACATTTAAGAATTATGGGTGTGATATAACGCAAACCCATTTTTTAAGACTCATGTAATCTGTACTTGTTCTATGTATTTGTATATGTCACACTGACATGAATAAACACAATAAAATGTGAGAAATTAATCACTTATCCTTGCCTTTAGATAACAACCTGCAGTATCCGACTGTCGAATTACGCATTTCTCAAATTCAGCTGGAACGATGGCGAGCGGAAATGAAGTGCAAAGAGACACTGAGGTGCTGATTTTTCTCCTATAATCAAATTTGTATTTGCCTTGGTTAATATAAGCCATCACAGATGACTTTGCTTACTGGTATGTTTTAATTTGTCAGGCTACAGT